GTATTTCTCGCAATGTGAGAGGTATCAGTGTGAGAATGCTGTAGCATTGCAGGCAGGACTTGTGACGCTGTTTCTTGACCTGTCTTGCAGTGAGCCTCCTCCCTCCTCAAGAAGAGGTTCAGGGCCAGAGAAGCAAGGGCTGACTGGTGAGACTGTATCATCCTCCTAGAAATCTGTAGTAACTTGCAGTGGGTAGAGGATTTTGGATGAGAGCTGCTTTCAGAAACCTCAGGTGGATTCTGTCGCAGGCATGAAATTGGAGTGTGGAGCCTTTGCTGCCTCTCATACTGCTTGTCAGTCTTCAGCCATTTGGGAACATCTGTGGTTAGCAAGGTGGTTAGCAAGGCCATCATTCATAGACTTCCTGCCTATCTCGCACATCCTGAGCTCTCTCAGAGATCCTGAGCAGACTGGTCTTCCCTGCTGTGCATTTATTTGTGGGGGTCCCCTTCTCTCCGTTGCAGCATGGCCCCTGTCCTCATGGATCATTACCAGAAACTCTCTTATTTCTGTATCATCCATGTCAGAACAAAAGAATTAGCAGGCACTCCCTTTTCCCACAGGGGACTGTGGAAATCCCAGTGCTCTCCCACAGCTGCAATATGTATCCACCTCAAGCCACACACGTCCGCAGTGTGCCCACTACAGTCGTTTCTGCAATATAATATGCATGGCATCTATACTTGTAAGAATGGTACTACAACTAAGAAAGAAAACCACAAACGTAGAACTCTCCTACCTGGTTCCTACACAAACATCCTCTGCAGCATCCTCCTCTGCTTGATAGGCAGTGCAGAAACCTTCGTCACTGACTCTTACAGATGCATAACCCCTTTTCCCCACCACAAGGCACTGAACTTTTCCTCATTCAATGAGCGCCTGTAATCACTGCCTTACTATCTGTAAATGCTGTCAACCGTCTGTTATACTTATCCCATCTAGTGCTATTCATCTCGAATACATAAACTAATTGCCTGATAACTGAAAACCTAATATGACCCAGAAATCTTTGCCTCAAATTGATTGTCAGAGTTGCAGTTTTGATTTGTGGGAAATATCACTACTTTCATTCTCCTCCTCTTTGCCTGTCCACTGATGAGAACGATGAATGTTTAAAAGCAAACAAAATTAATTCATTTGGCTGCCTATGCAACATAGCAAGTTTGGCCAATATACCTGCAATGCTTCATATAAAGACCAATGTGGTTTAAAATAAAAACAGAGAAAAACACAGAAGCCGATGCGGCTGTTAAACTGAGGCCAACATGGCCGGTGGCCAAACGCCTGAGTTGAGATTGACAAGTGGCCAGTATGGCCAGAAACCACCAGGCACAGTGCCTAGTTGGCACGGCAGAAGTGGCTGCACTTATGCGTGACTCTGCATGTGCCATTCTGCATATGCTTGCGTCCCCCTCTAAGGCTGGGAGCAGTACACTGTGCAGGACCTGCCTTCAGTCACCCAAAGGCTGACCTGGAAGCAGGAGGGTGCATGTGATGGTAGTTTTCTGCAGCTAGAAGGAGAGGAGGTGCCTGGCCTGTGTTGAAGGTAATTACAGGGAGGAGCTGGAATAGCTTATGAAGGAGCTCTTAGCTCTGCTTACGCTCCCTTGCCTCTGCAAATACACCCTTGACTGTTCTCTCTGTTGAAGATGACACACTGGCTGACTGCTAGAAGAGGAGTAGTTCCTTGTGTCCATGCAGCTGCTGCTCTGTTGTTTTCCATGTGGCTTCTGTGGCTTGTGTTGCAGTGATCTGAGATGCCTTTAAGGACACCTCTCTTTGTCTGTAGTCCAAGTGCTGGATATAGGTGTTACGGAGTTGCTGCAGCAAATGCTTCTTCATCTTCCCCTGCTGGAAAGAAAAAAGATCTCTCAGTCTTTGAGGGCCCATGGAGAAACACAGCCTGGTTATCCTCTTCATAGTGCCTTCATTCTCTGGGACAAATTGTTTGGGAGCAAAGTCTTGTTCCTTTGACTATCTTCTAATAGGACTGTTAGAAGCAGAGATCTGTATAGGGTGACCTGGCTCTCGTGGCACTCGCCTGCCATGTGGAATAGTTGGTAGATGGCAGTGCCAGGGGACTAATCTCTTGGCCTCAGATTGAAGAAAGTAGTCTTTTCATTATGGACAAAAGGGAGAGAAAGGAAGAGATAACGTATGCAATAGCGCTGCTGTGTTTTTTTGTAGCTGATTGTGAGTAAAGAGCGAATGGAGGACCTCCTCATGCTTCTAGTTTCTCCTCCCACCCTGGCAGCAGATGAGCATTTTGAGTGCAGTGAAGTGTCGTGCTGTGTCATGCTGCTTTTCTCCCAGCCCTAAGGGTGATTTGGATTTGTGTGCTTCTGTGGTAGTCTAGCCAATTCAGATCTCCACCTCTGCTCCCTACCCCAGCATATTTGCTGCTGCGAAATACTTCTGCTTCCACTATTCTCGGTAGGTTCATGTGGCATGCTGTGAGTTCTGCTCTGGTAGCAACAACATCAAGGCACCTCTGGTGGTGGTAAATAGAGGTCTCTGCTCAGAGCCCCAGTGATACCACCCTGAGCTATGACTGTCCTTGTGCCAAGAGGAAACGTCTACTGTTCCAAGGAGGGTGTATGTTCTCCTCCTCCTCTCTCCACTATCATCAAAATAGATGATTCAGTAGAATGATTCAGCCAAAAAGTAAAAGGATTAAATGCATGGACCACAAAGTCACTGGAATGTGGCAGGGTGGCAGATGGCTTGAAGAATGGGCTAAGGTTGGACTTCTTCCTGCCAGGTGATTGCTACAAACCAGGTGTGGTAGGATAAACTGCTGACACAAACCATATGGAAGTAGAGAAGTTGAGTGTGATGCTTTACCAGGTAATGGCTCTGTAAACTGAATGCTTGCAAATTAAATAATTTTGCCTAGTAATTTAGGAGAGGGATGAAATTTCTAGTAGTTCATGACACTGTTTGACAGTGACAACATGTGGCCTGCTGTGTCTGGGAATGAGAGGATTGGCATGTGTACAGCCACATATGGATGCCATTAGAGTCCACTGTTCCCTCTACAAGACTGAAGTTCATAGAAATTAGTATCACAAACAAGTGCCTCATTCTTGGCCAGAATGCAGTCAAGCTGCAAAGTAGTTTTTTACAACATGAGATTGTTTTCTTGCTGATACCAGGTTAAGAAATTTGCTGCTTAAAAAGTCTGATCTCAGCATAGCTTTTTCACCAAGGAAAGAAGTCCTGCTTCTATCTTTTTAATACGCATACACCTTTACTGTTTCTGTTGCATATATGCACATAGTCCTAGTCTGAAACCAAGTCTAGTGTTTACTAAGCTGTATGTTCACTGTTTTGGCAGTGGAAAGTGGTTACAGAAGAGAAGTTGATGTGCTGGCACTCCTCATGTTCAGCTTTGTCCTTGATCTCAGACAGAAATGATGTACCAGCATCCTTGCTATCTTCTGCCAGGTTTCTCATAAAAACAGACCCAAAATGTACTACCATAGAACTTGATTCATTTGTTTAAACATAAGCTTCTAGTGCTATTTGAGATGCCCTGGTTAGTCCTGCCTGTGTCTAGCTCCTGGTCCAGGAGGCAGCTGTTTTCCTGTACAACCAGTGTTGCATCTATTTGCCTCATGTGGATGCCTCCGATATTCTAGGGGATGTCAAGATGCACCAGGTGGGCATGTGTGAGCAATCGAAGTATCTGCTTGTAGCGTCTTCCTGGCTGAAGGTCTCCGATGAGCTGTCTGGTGTTGGTTTTATCCCCTGAATGTCATGAAGTGTGTACAGCCCAAATGTGAAGGCAGGCTTTTGGTTTTGTGCTGAAAGTCTGGAGTTTCTGAAATAAAGACTGCAGCATACCTTTTAACTACCCCTCTCTGCCCCCTCCCCCAAGCAGTTACTCTTTAAAATGCAAAGCATGCACTTGTCTGCTCTTTAGTGAAGGCAGTATAGGTTTGAAAGAAACATTTTAAGCATGTAGGAGGACCAAGCAGCTCTTTATATTTTGATGCCAAAACTCTTCTACAGTTTGAAGCATCTATAAAGTATATTTTCTTTGTGCAATGTCCTTTATGCTAGGATTGACTGTATTTTCATCCATATTGGTTATATTGTGATTATATGTTATATTGTGATCACCACAATTGGTTATATTATGATTAGACGCATGACAATATAGCAAATGTGATTTACTACATGTGTCATGGTCTTGAGTTGAGGTCTATGAGTGCTTATAAATAGAAATATAGATACATATCAGTTGATAAATTTAATCATCATACTTATTATTTTGCTCAGTGATGATCTGTATTTATGTCATTGCTGAGTAAACTGTGAGGGGAACGTTTATCATGGCTTCTTTTATATGAAGGGACAAATTGCACATCCTCAAGATAAAGCGCTCGACTTAGATTCTTGTCACCCGGATACAGTGTCACCCGGAGTCACCAGGAGCTTTGTCTTCTGTAACTTGAAATTGGCACATCAGTCTGCCCTTAAGTGGCAGCACATAGCGGAGTCACGGGTTCCTCATCTCACTCATGAGCAATCCAGCAGAATCCAGCTTTTCTTTTTTTTTCTTTTTGGCATATCCTCACCAGCAGGCTGCTGACTCCTCTGCACCTCCTCCTCTGTGCATTCCTAACTTACCACTTCTTTACTTCCCTTGAGGCTGTTTCCTCCTTGATTATCATTCTTCTTCACCATCCATTTTTCCTATCATCTCATCTTCATTGTCTTCTTCCATCCTCCTACTCCCTAAGTTTTCCCAGGCAATTTGGAAGTAGCTTACTAACCATTATAAGGGTCAGTATCTTAAATAGAAAATAGATGGATTTACTCTTTCCTCTGAAAGATTAAAAAAAAAAAGACTTATTCCTTGTTAAATTTCTCTAGATGTGTTCTCTCTATTTAAAGAACTTAAAGAACAAAAAAGATGTATGCATGATACCTAACTTGAGGTTTAAATGTGACTAGTCAAAAACTGATCGTTCTCTTTCATTTATTTTATGTAGGTTTCCTTTGCCTGATCTGTAAACATGTCCACAGACCTGCTATGTAAGTACATTTCCACCCTCTCATAGTGATTTTTTGGACCATATGTTTTTATCAAATTCCCAGATGTGCTCATGATTGGTGTCTTTTATCTTAAATATAAAGTCTGCTTTTACACTTGCTTTTCTCCGAAAACATCTGTGGAACAATATTACCATTATAATCAATGGGATTATTCTTGGAGTAAGTCATGACTTAATATGAGTAAAATTGTAAAAATCTGGCCCATGAATAGTGTAAGAACAGATTGATTCATTGAGACTTTAAAAATCACAATTTTGTCTAGAGTGTTTTATCTACCTTTGGCACAAATAACATCCAAGATTATTACTGAGTGATTTTTTTTGTATTTTTTTAATCTCTGTATGAATTTAACTTCTGTGTTACCAGAACGTCATTATCCAAGCCACATCCACATCTCACTTCTCATCATTTTTGTCCATCTTTTTTTCTTTGTTTTTTTTTTCAAGAGCAAAGAATATACAAACAGCGTATATTTTAATTTGCTGTCACAGCTATTGCAAAAACCTACCTCCATAGCATCCTTGGTACTTACAATTTCTTGCACCAGCTTATGATCACTGAAACACTGAGTGCATTTTCTGTTCTTCTAGATCTAGTTTAAATGCTTTCTTTTGGAATCTGTCCAGTCCCTCAGTTTCCTTTTATTTTTTTTATCGTTGCATGCAGCCTTACCATTGATGTTCAGTCACCTACTGTGAAGAATAAGAGGGGAATTTTGGAAATCCATATTATTGTCCCTAATATGTCCTGAGAGAAACAAAGAAAAAAAAAATCAATAGCTGTAATCAGATAATAAAAAGGTTATTGACTGACTAGGAAAAAAAGGCTATTTGTGGAGGCTGTATACCTACTTCAATGCCAAGTTATTGAGAAAGTACATTTTTCTATTTTTACCTACCTAGTGGCAATTTTGGGGGAATGTTCAAGTGTTTTGAAGCTACAGAGAGAACTCTTTAAAAAGATGCATAAAGAATGCAATATGCCTGACAGTGTCATCAAGGAGAACCACTGTCAGAGTGAAATGCTAAGGAAAGGAGAGAGGGCAAGATGACTGCACAGTTTTACTGGTCAAAATCAGTTACTACTCCTCAACTTTGCTCAGACTTTTAAGCTAGGTCATTTATGCTCTACCACTGTTTCGTTTTCCTGTCTTCAGCTCAGCATCCATGTCTTTCACACTTTTCCTAATAATTCACAGGTTAGCAAACTTGATGTTTGAAGAAAGTTTGAAGGAACTGGCTTTGTTCATTCTGAAGAAGAGAAGGTTCATGTGGGGATATAATCAGCTAAGTGGTAGTTGCCGGGACTGTGGAAGTCTTCCTTCACCAGATGCGTGGAGACAGGATAGAATAGCAGACTATGGCCACAAGTTGCTTCAGAGTAAATCTGTTCAGATACAAGAAAAAGTTATGTGATGTCAGCTAAACATAGAAATAGGCCCAGAGAAGTTGTAGAATCTCCCTCCCTGATTTTATTCAAGACTTGGCTTGACACGGCGCTGAATAAGGCCTTGCTTTCACAGAAGGTTGGAACAGATGGTCTCCAGAAGTCCTTTCCAACATTTTTTTTTTTCCTGTGACTCTGTGATTCCGCATATTTCCTCATGTTCTCAGTGTCTTTGATGCAACAGTCAGTTTTCCCTAACACTTCGGTGCAGCCCATCTCTGGTCTTCTGAGTGCTGTACTGCTTGTGCTGTGGCAAGTAGTGTGATGCTTGGTCCTACCAGCGGGATAAGATATTCCTCTTCCGCAAGCGAATAATGCAAAGCAGCACCAGTGCTCAAGGGATTTTTCAGGTTCTTACTGATGGAAATACATGTGCATGTGGGTTTATGACAAACAGGTAATGCCTTTGAAAGGTTCAGTGAAGTGGAGGAAGGGGAGGATTGTTTAGATATATGGACTTAGTCATCTCAATGACAGTAAAAGTTTTTGGCCCATGTTATATTTGGTGGTAGAGGTGTGACCTAAACACTCAGTCCCTAGCCTTAACCACAGCACCCTCTTGAATTAATGCTTGCTTCAATACAAGGTCAAATTCTAGGATTAGAAATATTGATCCAGCTCAAACTAACAAGAACTAGATTTATAATTAAAAAAAAATCTAACCAAAATGAAAC